ATTTCTCAAAATATTAAAATTTATTTTCTATCTAATCATGACATTTGCTATCCTAAATTAGTTCATAATTTTAAATAAATATATAAAAGAATTTTCTTTTTATTATCAAAATATAATTTTTGTTCATAATTTCTTGTCACATTTGAAGACATCGCAATTCAGACGTTTGACTGCTTTAAAGATTTTTCCTAAGCCACTTTTGTCGGCTTGTTCTTCTGGTGTTCTGAGAAATTGAAGAAAAAAGTTAATTAAATTTATTTTCACATCAAAATGTTTTTTAATTACACTAAAGCAATGTTGAAAAGCATTTTATTCAAAGCACCCGAATTTACGTTTCTTCCCTTCAATGCAAAATCACAGAAAAATCGATCTTCACAAAGTCCGTCTAGCTTCTGACCAGTTCTTTGATATTTTCTTCTTAATTCCAAATCCATGAGTCGCAGTGAGTTCACCAAAGTTGCATCAATCTCATCTGTCAAGAATCTCTTGTGGATGCTTCGATGTGTCATTGGAAGAGATGAATAACTTGAATAGCTGTTCAGATATGGTAATTGCGCTGGTGGTGGAACTATGTAATGATTATGTGATGGTGTCACCTCATGCTCTTCAAATGTCTCACTGAAAAATATAAAATTATTCGGAACTTTAAGAAAAAAGTCACTTTGCAAAATATTTTAAAATTGATTGATGAAATCACAAAAATCCAAACTTTTGCTGCTTGTTTCATCAATTTTTATTACATTCAATTAAACTATTCATAAATAAATAAATACGCTAGACATAAGTTAAAATTTTTAATACACATTTCCATCGTGGGTTGAACATTTCGGTTTCGATGAATTAAAAAGTTTTTTAAAATGATTCTTGATTTTCGCTATCTTTGCCACTTTAAGATCGTGCCTTTTTTTGTACGCTAGTTGAAGATCCCGTTTTGCTTCGTGATAAGCTCTGTGAAGTTTTGGGAATAAAAGTTGAAAGGATTCAATGAGAATTGGCTTTTCCATCAAATTATTTAACTGAATAAGTTAATAAGCAGAGACGCATGAATGTTGTTAAAGAAGGAAGCATTAAATTTCATTTGATTATTCATTGCATAAACAAAACTCCAAAAACTACCCAATTTTTCAGGCATTTCCATTGAAAACTTTCGTAAAAAGATAATTTTATATTTTTTCTTTACAAAATCGTCAATTGAATTAGTTACTCAAAACTTCATCACTTTGAATAGCAGAAAAGAGCGTGAAATTTCGCGCATTAACTTTCGTAATTTTCACATTATAACTAAATATGTGACAATAAATAATTTAAAAGAATTGAATAACTTACGCGGCTGGATCGGCACTAATGTAAGCAACTCTAGACGTCAAAGCTGATACTGAAATTTGAATAAAATAACAAGACGGTTATTAATTTACGCAGTCTGTTGTTTGTTGTCATTCTTCTACTCAACTGATTACACCAATTGGCACCGCAGCTGCAATCGCTCCTATAATTTTTTTCCATTGCCCTACTCTGAAATAGAATTAAAGTTTTATATGGAATTTAATTAATTTATTAATCAAATAATTACGCAACAAATTTATTAATCCCCGTCAATTCTTCGGATTTATCTTCTTCACTTCCTTTTTCCTTTTCTTCACTGCTTTCTTCATCTTCTTCCTTTTCTTTTGATTTTCCTGATGACGACACATCAGCTTCAGTCACTGATGATGATACATCACTTTCAGATGGTAATGTCCACGTTTCTGGAACATTTGACCATGCTGCAGGTGGTTTACCTTGATTGTTCCAATAATTCGTCCAGAAAGCTATTTCAGATTCGCTCAAAGGTTTGTTGATATCCCAAGCAGTTGGGGAATTTGTAACTCCAGAATCTCCTTCACTATTTTGCTTTGATGCATCAGAATTTTCTCCTTCCCCCGCAATCCATTTCCAACCTCCTTTCGGATTCCATGATTGTTGATTTGGATCCAAAGATTGCAATTGATTAACCCAAAGTGCTTGTTTAGCTTCTTCACTGTTACTAATCGTTCCACTGTTGTCATGATTTGCTATTCTTCCTTCAAAGGGAACACCAAATCTTTCATCATAGCTCGGCCAATGTGGTGTTGGTCTTTGTGTTGTTTGAATCGGCATATAGAACGGAAATCCAGTATTTGGTGATGAACTTGGACGATTAAAGAATGAAAAAGCTCTTCGAACTGGCGGTGGTTTTAACTCAATTGGTGGGCGCATCGTTCCAATTGGTTGTCGATCACTTCCAAACCATCTTGGATCAATCATTGGATGTTGTGTGAAAGGTGTGGGAGTTGATTGATGAACTTCTTGCTTTGGTGGTAAATAAGGTTGACGATTAACTCCAGAATGGTTTATTTGTTGAACTTCTTTCTTCGGGGGTAAATAAACAAGATTTCCTCGATTAAATGAATTAACATCTGGAAGATTTATTTCTTTTTTTGGAGGCAAATAAGGCAGACGATTCAATGAATTAACTTCTGGTAAAGTTGCTTCCTTCTTTGGAGGTAAGAAAAAACGTGATAAAGAATTAACTTCCGGGAAATTTAATTTGTTAATTTCTTTCTTTGGAGGTAAATAAAAATTATTCATAGGAATAAAATTATTCTGTGGTTGATTTTCTTGACTATGTAACGAGCTAGCTTCAGGTGAAGGAATGAAATCTTTCACATTTAACTTTTCATTTTTCGGTGAAAGATTTGTTTGAATTCCTACAGTAAATGCAGTTTGATCTTGAGATAGTTTTGCTTCTTGTCGGTCACTCCATTGCTTTAATTGTTTCAAAGCTTGAGCTTTACTTTTCATTATCGCTTTTCTCATCTTTTCGTTAATGATTGGTCCGACAACAATTGGATTGCGAAGCAGTGATGAAGTCCTTCTGTGTGAAATAAAATGAGTTAGCACAATTTAATTTATTTTTTGCTTATCCTTACGCTATTTCCTTAATCAAACTTTTAGTAACATTGAGATCTTCCGGATTAAATTGTAACGTCTTCAAACTTGGCATTATAGTTGTGGTCACTTGAGTTGTAGTTTCGAATGGTGTCGTTGTTTCTACTTCTAATGTTTCGGATTTGTTGTTCTTTATTTCTAACTCATTAAGTGTCGTTGTCATCTCCACAGACTCCATTTCGATATCCTTTTCAGAATCATTGTTTTTTACATCTGATAATGTCATGTTTTCACTTTCATCATCAACGTCAACCAAATTTTCCTTCGTTTCATTACAAATTGCACTTGTAACCAGGAGAAATGCGAAAACCGCATAAAATATATTAAACTTTTTCATATTTTAGATTTCTTTTATTTTCATATATCCGTCATTACAATAAAACTTTTCACTTTCTTTTCACTTTTTATTTGATTCACTGAAATTCACAGTTGAAATGAAAACTCTTTATCGAAGATGGTTACTTTTATATCAAAAAAGATTTAAGTACGTCGTGAGCATTTATTCCAGAAAATCACTATTGTTCATGTGAAATATAAACAAAAGATTTGAAATTGAAATACACTTGAAGAGTCAAATTATTCCGATTCTATTTTGTATTTTGAGCATGAAATATTTTCAAAAGCTATGTTCGAAGTTTTGTCCCACTAAATTTTTCATTGTCTAGGATGCGGTTTCAGACTTGTAAATTTCAAAATATTTAAAGCGCAATATTATCTGACTGTATCAGATATGTCGATCATTATTTTAGTTTGAACAAATAAAAGCTCTAAAAAAAGCTTTCTAAGAAGCTTTTAAAGTTGCATAACTTCAAGGGGCTCGTTTTTCTTAAAATTTCAGGAACAATCTGATTAAATAACTTATTTACGTCTCACAGACATTTATTAATAGATTACATATTTTAATTTTCAGAGATAATAAATGCAAATAGATGAATATTGCATTTTACTTTACTTGACCTTCATTTAAATTTTTCCTTGAACGTGACTTGATAAATAGAACTAAATTTTATTGCGAATTTCTTTATTGAACAAAAACAAATTTATTTAAAGTCTCGTGAAAACTTTGATACACTTTCGCTTGCAAAATATTTAAATAATAGAATTTTCTTCGCAGCAAACATTTCCTTACTTTGCCAGACTTTCAAGTTCAATATCAACGATGCGTACAAAATGCTTTCATTGCAATACGTTGCTAAGTATTATCCAAAAATAAAAATATTCAGACAAAAAGCTGTTTCAACTTTTAAGTGTGGTAAATAAGTGGATAATTGAGCACTGAAACGATTGAGAGTTTATCTTTTCAGATTTTCTTTTTCAATTCTCGGTGTTGTTGTGCTTCCTTCAACATTTATTATGAAACTTTTTAAATATGACAACACTGATGTGATGTACGTCAAACATTGAACTCGGAAATGAGATAAATCTGAATGAAGATGAATATTAATTTTTATAGACGACTTTCATTTTATCTTTACCTTGAAGTAGTTAAATAAAATATCACCGATCATCGGATGTTTATTATTAGAAATATGATTCATAACTTTCTTGATAATTGGCTAAAAGCTTTTATTATAACCGAGAGAAGCTTTTTGTAGCAACAAAGTGAGTTAGTTCAACCTCACTAAAATGAAAAATTCTCAAAACTTATACTTAATTATTACCATGTAAACATAACAATTCTGTTCTTACATTTTCACTTTATAATAAATGCCTTTTAAATGGAAATATAAAATAAAATTGTCAAAAACAAAAGTCATCAACTTTCAGTTTTCTTTCTTTTCATTTTCATCCAAAATTACTATTTTCAAACTCAGAGACAACTCCGCATCATAATCAAAAGAAATTTTTCGCTTCTAGTCAACATCGAAAGAAAACTTTTTTTTTCTTTTTCATTTCTCTCATTTTTCTTTCTTTTTAATACTTCAAGACGATGAAAAACTATATTAGATGGAACAATTGTGCGTTGAAACTCAGTTGGTGTTTAGCAGTTGACAGTGAAATATTTTTCAAATAAAGTACAAAAATAAATAAATGAAAGGGAAAAAATGAGAAATTAAAATTTAGAAAGAAGGAAATAAAAATTAAGCTTTTCTTAAAAAAAAGCTTTAAAAATATTTGACGAACTGTTGTTACTAAGTGAAAATCCTTCCCCTTAATCACTATGAAAACTTTCAAGTTTAACTTAGTTCTAGTTACTTATTTATTGACAATATTTAAAGTGAGCCTTCTTGAAACTGTTCATTTCACAAATTCACCAAATAAAATTCTTCATGCTAATAATTACACAACGTACAAAGTTGCAGTTCCTAATGGTGAATCAATCACAATAATCGAAGCTAACACGCCACTCATCAATAAGAAAATTCGATTTAATGAAGTAGAAAATACTAAATACTCGATAAACCATAACAGAGACATCAGAAAAAATGTGATGGATCTAAAAACTTCATTAAGCATGACTGTTACCCCAAATAATAACAACAATGATGAGTACAGAAGCTTACAGCCTTCGAATGAAGAAGAAAGTGTTACAAATGATTATGGCAATTTGTCACCCGAGCAAAACATTCATCAAAATACCATGAAGACGGTTTATTCACCTGCACTATTGGAGAAATTTCTAAAAGATTATGCAAATAAAATAAGATCGACTGAAAGGCCAATTACTGAATTGACAACTGCTTCATATGAAGAAATTAAGCCGTTCAAGGATGTGATTAATGACAAAAATGATTCGTTAGAAAGCCAAGATGATGGTGGAAATAGAAGAGTTAGTGTTGAAGAAGACGAAACTCAATCTGATGATGTTCAAGAGAGAAAGCGATATCGTCCAGGAAATGAAAACTATCAGCAACATCCTTACAATAAGAAGAATGGATGGGTGACACTTGAAGCAATTCCATGGAGTAAAAGTAAAGTTAGCAAGTGGCAGAGTTCAGTGAAACCTTATCAAAATAATTATCGACCAACACGACCGCCACCATATAATTATGAAGAAGATTACAACAGTAATGACAATGAAGATCACTTTTACAGTCATAAACCTCAACGTCCAAGTTATCAAAATAATCAATATTATGGCGGACAATCTTCATCCTACCCAAACCGACCAGATCAAACTTTCTCGCAGTCATCACATCACAATAATTATGATAACGATTATCGACCAAATCGACCTTATCAACCTGAAATTATAACCGATAATCGACCATCAAACTTCCCAACACATCATGAGACGTCTCATCATCAAAACGAGTACGGTTATAACCGTCCGAATAATTATGATCGGCCAAGTCGTCCACCGAGCGATTATCATTATTCAAGTAGTCAAAACTACAATCATTATTCTAATAAAGACGACAGTGCCCATCCATCGACCTACCCAAGTAGCGGTGTTGATGGTGAATGGGTTCTCATATCAACAACGAAAGGTTATCAATTTCCCAAAAGAAACGGTCAACGTGCAATGATGTTTAAAGCTCAAAACAGTGCCGGTAGCACAGAAACAATGAAGAATGAAGATAACGGAATCATTTCGTCTGGTTCTCATCAATATAACAATTTTGTATCACTTCGACCATCACAAATTGCTCCAACGAAAATGACACAACAACAAGTCAAACTCAATGTTCTTCCACTTTTCCAAAGTTCAACTTATAATAAGAAAAGTCCTAATCAGATGGAATTAAATCTGTACAAACCAAATACTAACTATGGTGGACTTATCGAAACAGAACCATCAACTCAGACAGTAGAAGAAAGTGCTGCAGCAGCGGGATACGGTAATGAACTGAATTCAGTCACGACCGTTGCACAAAATTCACCAAAGAAAAAGCGAAAGCCGAACAAAAAAAATTACGCGCTAATGCGTCAGAATAATGGCGACGGTGACAGCACAGCTGTGTTAGCAGCGGTAAGTTCAATGTCATTTTCGTATTGATTTGTTGCTTAACAATCGTGTGAATGTGTTTGTAGGTTAGTGCTGGTTTATTACCCGCATCACTCGGATTACTTGCACCGATAGTTCTTGGGTAATGACGAAGCGAGGTGAAAGTGAAAACTTCAACAATGTTGGAAGAAAATATCGTCATTACTTGCAGGATCTGAAAGTTCCAAACAATAATAAACACGTGATAACAATTTGATCACAACAAATAATGATGAAATAATTGAATGGAAAAAGTGAAAGTATTTTTGTTTTAATTTTTATTTCTTACATTTCTTTGTTACAAATTAACTTTATTTTATGTCTCTTAATTTATTCATGATTTACTTTTATTTTACTCTTTTTTTTATCAAAACATGTTAGAAAGATAAATAAAGTAGAAAAAATAATATTCTAGTATCAAAATAAAGATTTATTCGTGGGAGGTTTCAGTAATTTCATTGGGAGGCAAAATTTTCATCGAAATAAAAAGATTTGAAATTTAAAAGCTTTTTCATGTTGAAGCTTTTTTAATGTCGAAATTATTTTGTTTTCATTACAAAACTGGTTTGATGTTTTTGATGTAAGATTCTTGACATTGAGTAGAATCAACATCGATTTGTCTTGTCTCCTAAATTAAAAATGTTCAAAATGTTTATTCAAAGTTTAAAAATTAAAATTCCAATCAATTCAAAGCAGCTTTTAAATATGTTTTCAATACCTTACGCATTAATGTTAAAACTTCATAAAGAAACAGTCAATTAAATATATTAAAACCAAACACTTCAGAGAAATGCAGATTCAAATGATACTTAAAGTGCAAAACATCCTTGAGATAAACTTGTTTAAGCTTTTTTAATTTTTATGTCACATTTATGTGGATAAACATCCAAAGATGAACGTGCCATAAAAATTATTTCGATACATAACTATTCATCAAAAAGGATATTTTAAGAAGATAAAATTGAAAAAGAAACTTAAAAGCTTTCAAAGTTATGCTATCAGAGCTCAAGTTTTCAATTTCTCTCTTCATGATACAATTAAAACTATTAAAAGTTTAAAGATATTTCTTATGTTGATTTTTGTTCGTTTCGTTCATTTCTGTATTTGAAGAATTCGTTTTGTAAGGGTTAAACAACGGTGAAGAATTAACTCGCTCTTCGACACCTCGTAAATATTGTTGGAAAGCAATTGTAGCATTTTGCAAGAAATTCAAGCCCATTCGAAGCTTCATATCGATTATACGACGGAAAAGATCGAAAATGTTGTTGTGGCCATTCTCAATGTTGAAAGTTTGGGTTGGATATTGCGTCGTAGATTCTTCGATTGTTTGTGGAGTTGAATGATCAATGTGTGTTGTTGATTCTTCTCTTTTCATTGTCGTCGCGTCGCTTTCACGTTTATTTTCTTCTTCTTCTCTCTCAATCTCATTATCTTCCAAACTTTTAGCCACTTTTCTGATTGCTTCGCGACGTCTTCGTCGTCTTGGACCATGTTCTGGTACAACACCAGATGGACTCTCATCATAATGATCTGGAATAACCGAACCAACAACAAACTGCTTTTGCTGATTCATAATTGCATTTGCAATTGAGTTTTGATATTGTTCTTCTGAATGTGACATTGTCAAAGCTTCAGGTTTTGGTAATTCTTGATCGTCTTCTTCAATTCGATGATTCGAAGGTACAGATTGAGCTTGAACAATTGTAATTTTTTCTGATCTTTGTGATTCAGCTTGTGCTTGAGGTTCATTCTCTTGGACGTTCTGCTGTTGTTGTTGCTGTTCAATCATTTGAGACAATTGCGTTTCATCTTGTTGTGGATAATAACTTTGGGCAATATCATCATATTCCATTCCATAAGAAGCTTCACGTTCTGGTTCATGTGTTGTCATATCAACAGTGTCAATATTGAATTTGGAAGAAATTTGAGATGTTGATTGTGGTGATTGAACTGTCGGTTGCGGTTGAACTTGCTGTTGTTGAGCTGGATATTCAACAACTGCTGATTTCGGTTGTGCTTGTGCTTGGACTTGTTGTTGATAATATTGTTGATATTGTGCTTGAGTTTGATAGGAATTTTGATACGGATCAATCGTTCGATATCTCAGATGTTGTTGAACTCCATATTTTGGTGATTGCTGCATGTATTGTGAATATCCTGAATACTGTTGAACCTTTGGACGATAAGGATTAGCACGGATGTTATTTCGATAAGCAGAATTTTCTGGCATTCCTGCAATCACTTTTCCAAACATTTCTTCTTCAGCTTGACTGTTTCCAAAGTCATCAGAACGATCAAATGCAACATCATCACGTCGATTTGAAACATCATAAGAACGTCTTAAAGCTGTTAAAGGACCTCCTAAGAAATAAGTTGCAAGACCAGCAGTCACAACAAGTCCGACTAATCCAACACCAACTGTCGGCATGACTTCACGTGCTAAATAATTATAAAGTTGTGTTGTTAAAGGTTTTTGTGGAGCTGCTAATTTTGTATTCTTCTTATCAGACTTCTTCTTAATTCTTGTGTTGTTTGCGCCACTCACAGGAATCTTCTTCTTTTTCTTATTCTTATTTGCTGAATCTTTTGATGGTTTTTTTGGTGAAGCATTCTTTGCTGGTGAACGATCATCTGGAAGATTGAAATCAGCATCTTTAGGTTCCATGATCAAGAATGTTGGTTTTTCTACAATTGGTGCTGGCGCAACTTCTTCAGTATCATCATCAACAACTTCAACAGCTTCAGTTGTCGTCGTTGTTGTTGCTTGAGTTGTTGTCGTTGTTTTAGTGGGAGTTTTTGGACGAAGTGTTGTATATTTCTTAGCTTTAGTTGTCAATTGAATTTTCTTTGTTGTCGGAGTAGCTTTTGTGGTAACTTCAATGTCAGTTTCATTCATCGATCCATTTGTTGTGACTTTAACACGAGTGATCGGCTTGTTCAAGGGTTTGTTATACTTTGGAGTCGCTTTAGGAAGCTTCGTTGTTGCTGTAGTTGGATTCCGTTTCTTTGTTGTCATTGTGATATTTTTTGCAGGCTTCTTCTCAGAGTTATCAATGCGGAAAGCTGGTTTCATTTCCGGCCGTGTTGTTGGATGACTTCCACTTAATAAAATCCATGTGCTAATTCCATCTTTTGGTGTTGATGACTCCATCGACATCTTCTTCTTTGCTTTATTCAATAATTCTTTTTCTCTTGCGATTTCCTTCTCATAATCTTCCAACGTCATAGGAACTGCAACTCCTTGACGGAATGAAGGTTCCTTAACTGTCATCTCACTTTTAACATTTCCCGATGTCAACTGAATTTTACTTGAAGCTTTAAGCTCACGATTTTCATCGATTGATGGAGCTTTCGCATCACGTTTCTCTTCAATTTTCTCATTTTCTTTTTTAGGTCTGTAAATTTAAAAGTAAATAAACAAGAATTAAAGTTATGACATTTATAAATTGCTTTAGTAAATAATAAATAAAATATCATATCAAATGTCAGCAGATTTTATTGATGTTATAAATTGACGACATTTATACAATCAACTCCAAAAGTTATGTAATTCCCACTTAATTTATCATATAAATCAAAACATCAACAAGTTGATCTAAACGAAAGATTTTTGCATTGACCTCAGAAAATAAAATGCATTAAATATCCGTTCTCGTATTATTTATCTAAATAATCTAAAAATAACAACTCCCGCCTTGATTGCAAAATAGCAAAATAAAAACACAATAATAAATACAGTTCAACAAACTTCTAGCTTCTCAAAGCTTGAAAGGCTACTTGTTGTTGTTAATATTACGTCTTCTGTAGCCTTCATTCATAACTGAAGTGAATAATAATTTTGTAAATTTTCCGTAAACAACCTATGGAGTTACACCAATAGCATGTTTTAACTGGAAAAGTCACGTAAACATGAAATATCTTTCAATTCGTTTCTCTTATCTCTCATTTTCTCTCAATTTTCTCTTGGTGGCCTGATTGACACTTAAGTCTTTCTTTAAAGAAATGCAAGAAATGTATAAAAACAAAACGGAGCTTTTCATAGATTTCTCTAGATGTGCATCGAAAATATTTTTGTCATTTATGTTATTTTCATTTTTTATGAATCACGACGAAAACAAAGTTGAAACAATGAAACATCAAATTAAAAACCCTTACAAAATTTCTTTATCTATTTTTACTCTATGCAAGTACACTCATTCCGTTATATCGAAGTTTAAAAACATAACAACACATTTTGTGAGAGAATGAACAGCGGCATTGAAAAAATCTTCAGTTCATCAAGCTACGTGACTGACTACAGACACGAAATAAAAAAAATCGTTCAGAGTGAGAAAAATATTTTGTGCAAGAAGATAAAACTTTTCGAAGTTTGTGATTAAGGAAAAACTATTGTGACTTAAGAAGCGCAAGCTGTAGATTACAGACAGATATTAAATGAGTGAAATGAAACAAGGCTGTTTCAGTATTTACCTACGCTCTCGCCTTGACTTTCGAAGCACCATTCAACTGCGTTTTGAAGTGAACTACGATAAGCGCAATACCACAAAATTCTTCACGAATTAAGCAATTAAAAGACCAAAGAAAAATAGCTACGCATTAGGAGAATCAGGTATTTGCATAATAATTTATCCCGGTGATTTTAAATTGCGTAATTAAATTCAGAAATGAAAAAAATAAAATAATAATAAAAAGAAGTCATATGAATATGTATATACCCACTTCTACGAAGCGAGAATGTATTAGTCGTTATTGTCTCATTTGTTCGACTCGCCGTTCATGAAATGGATGAAGAAGCGAGAAAAAAAAGTAAATACGAATTTGCAAATTGCAATGCCTTGCATTCAGTATTTTTATATTATTTTGCCAGCCAGAGAAATGTCGTCGCAATGGCACATATTGAAAGTCAAAAGTTTATTAATTTTATTCAAATCGTAAACATCGTTCAAAGCCCTTCAATGACATTTTAGAGAAAAAAAAAGTTTTCGTGTTTACAGCTTGTGAAAATTTTCTATTTTAAGGCCAATTGCTTTTCTCTGTGTATTATCTCGGTGACCGAGAAATAACAAAATGTCTATCACTAAAATATTTCCATTTGTTTTCTGTATTTCTTATAGAGAAGCACGCATCCTACGCCACGCGCTAGGTAAAAAAAATATCCACCAAGAAGTAATTAAGAAAAAAAAAATAATAAGAAACACGCACTAGACACGTGTATTTAAGATGGAACGTCAGGAACAAAAGATAACTTTGTTCAATACGATCAAAGCACCGATGGCAGGTGCTTTCAGTGGTTGTATTACTCGAGCTATCACTCAACCCTTAGACTGTTCAAAAGTTCGATTGCAATTGCAAGTTGAACCAATTGCTAATGTCACTGGAGCTCGTTATACTGGAACATGGCAGACACTCTTTGCTATCTTTCGTGACGAAGGTGTCTACGGATTGTGGAAGGGACACATTCCAGCTCAACTTTTGAGTGTCTTCTATGGCTTAGGCCAGTTTGCAGCTTATGACCAATTAAATCGTGCTGGTCGTCACATCAAAATATTCCACGAACACTCAGACATGCGACACTTTATTTGTGGTGGAATCGCTGGTGCAATCGGCAACACGGTCTCAACACCCTTTGATGTTGTACGTACGCGAATCATAGCACAAGATCATGGTCGTGGCTACAGCAGCATGACAGAGGTTTGTTGATAAATAAAAATGCTTCGAGTGTGCCAATTTCAAAATGCATTTAAAATAATTGATTTCTGTTACCTTAGGGCTTGAAATCAATTTATTTGAAAGAAGGCATTCGAGGATTGTTTAGGGGTTTGGGGCCGTCAGTGTTGCAAGTTGCGCCTTTAACAGCGATACAGTTCTGGAGTTACAACGTGGTCATCGAAGCAGCTTTGGAGTACACGAAGCAAGAGTAAGTTTCGTAATTAAACGAGTTAATTGCATCTAACTAAATCATTAACGTTTCTTTCCAGTCATGCAACTCCACATTTAATTCTTTTTTCTGGTATGATTGGCGGAATTGTGTCGAAGACTGCAGTTTATCCGTTAGATCTTTGCAAGAAACGTCTACAAATTCAGAAATTCCAACAATCACGTACAACTTATGGCGAGAATTTCGTTTGTAAAGGTTTGTTGGACTGTTTGAAGCGAACAGTTACACGTGAAGGTTGGACAGGTGAGTTGTCTCTTAACAAAACATCAATGAAAATATTTTTAAAATTGAAATTTCTGTTCTAGTAGGACTTTACAAGGGACTGTGGCCGTCAGTCTTCAAATCGGGACTGGCAACTGGTCTTCATTTCTTCATGTACGAGGAACTTTTAAGCTACTTTAACAGAGCCAATTTCTAAATGAGACGTAGTAAAAACGTTTAATTGAAAAAGATAGTCGGAGATAAACTCGAACCATGGTGACACTAATCGTCGGATTATAAAAAAATAAGTGAAAAGAAAAATGATTTCTTTATATCAAAAGTGAAGTAAGAGGAGTTGTAAACAATATTTGCGTCTGATAATAATTCAAGTGAAACAAAACAGTCTGATTCATGAATTTACTCTTATCAGCATTCTTCTCGACAATTTTTATTATTCGAAAGAAAATTACGTGACGGTTGATGCATCTCTTCATTAAAAGTCACGGCCGTGAATACATTAAATGAACAATTGAAAAGCTTTGAATTATCAGAAGAAACTTTTTTCTTTTTCAATTGCAATAGATAGTACTGTAGTGATCTCATCATCAGTAGGGTTTGAAGTTTGAGATTGTTACAAACAATCAGAACTTCATTGTTATAACAGTTTTATAACAGTTGTAAAACATCGACAAACCTTTAAGTAATCACATGGTTTTGGATATTTTTGAACGATAAATGTTATACTTAATCGTTCTGCTACCTCTTAAGTTCTCCAATAATAAATAACACTTTTTAATTTAATTAAATAAGATCCCGAAAGATGAGTGAAGTAAGGAACAACAAAGGGACTTAAATAGCCTTCATTGTGATATCGTTGAATTAACAAAAAACATATTCGAAATATACGCAAAAGCAAGCAAACTTGGACAAAAATTAAAAAAGATAGTTGATCAAAAATTGTAAATTGAAAATTCAGTAATTAATATGAAATTAAATTTTGATGAAAACGTAATTAATTCAATTTCCTGATTTAAAAACCAACGCGAAAAAGAAATAAATAAAAAATTGCATACGGTATTAATAACGATAACGAATATCTAACCTTCACATGTTTAATTACTAAGATACGAATTAATTGGATTTGGGTGACTGAAAAAGAAATTTTGCCGATCATAATTCTACGATATATTTATGTAACACGCCAGTCGAAAATTTTATAGGAAATTAAGATTGGATTAATGTTGATTGTAGTTTATAGAATTTCGAGTGTTTTTCACCTACTTTTAAAATATTTATCAGATAAAAATATGAAATTGCGCAATGTCTTGTCGTTATCTTGAACTCAATTCTTTCATTCGTTTTTGTCGAATGTTTTGAAATGAACGAAAATTAATCAAAACACATTTCGAAAAGGACAAGACAGTCAATTTCAATTTAAAAATATTAAGATAAATAAGCTCGATATGTAATTCGATATTCATAATTTCATAACACGAAAACAGTTGATTAACCAATTTAAAGCCTTCAATGTTTGAGAGTAAAACATTTTACTGAAAATATAAATCTATGAAAAGCAAACAATTAATTTAAGTCTCCCAACAATTTTCTTCAACTTGATTAACAAACAAACTTTAAGTTTTTTTGGGTTTTTTTTTGTCCATGAAGACGCCGCTTAGATATTTATATTTAGAAATTCAGTCAATAAATAAATACGAGAAATAAAAATAAAAAATGCATTTAACTATTTTAATATCATTTTCAGATAATTCCTTAAATAATAAATGTTAGAAACTTTATCACCAGTTCAAGCCTTATTAGATTAAATCTATAGCAAATTATTTATTTATTAGTTTAATAATACTAACAACAGCATTAATCTCAATTATCTACTCATAACTAAAAGCAAAATCTACTTAATTAAATAATGGATTAAAAACAGACAAAAAAGGCATCACACATCAAAAACCAACTCGATATCAACAAACAAATGGCACATTTAACAATATTCAAGGACTTTCCAGCAATTTGCCGTGTTTTTCGTTCTTCATTTTTAGAGAAGCTTAAATTTGTATTTTCTCTTCGGTAGCTTCACCACTGTTCGTTGTTTCTTTGGTCGTTTTAATCGTAAGTTTGTCTTCCGATTGTATGGTCCTTTTGATGGAGGTTTTTGGGGTTGATAAGTATCAATCATGACTGGTTGAGGGTGGTAACTGTCTGTCATATCTGGTTGTGGATGATAACTGTCCATCATTACTGGTTGATGCTGGGGATAATAACTGTCATCATAAGGAGGTTCACCATAAGAAGATAATTGACTGGAAGGCTTCTGATAAGGAGAAATCGGTGGACCATAAGAGTTCAATGGTATACTTTTAGGTGGCGGAGATAAATTCTTATGCAAATGCGTGATTCTTATTGGCAGTGGTGAATGTTTAATCTTATTTTTTATGATAATTTCTTGTGGCTTAGGCCAAATGGATTGATGATACTGATCATCTTTATTCATATATTTATGCATTCCAAAGAACATTCCACCGAAAAGCATCGCGGCAAGTGGTGCCATAACTAATCCCCAAACACCAAAGTTCATTGGATTAAAAATTGCCATAATTGCCATCACTGTCATTATAATCGATCCATAATCGGATGCATCATCGGGGAGTTTCACATCACCTTCATCAATTTGAAATGCACTGCCAGGTTTCTTTTTCTTTCTTAATTTCTGGTTACTGCCTGTCAACACTCCAAGTGGCTTGTTTGCCATTTGTGCTATCGAAGTGATAATTTGTGGTGTGTCTGGCGCGACAACTTCAAAAGATTCTTGTTTCTCATCCGACTCATAGTCATCTGAACTTTCAGAAACATCATGAAACTTATCATTTTTAGGGAACTCATAGAAAGATGTCGTCGTTTGCACTGTATAAGTCTCAACTTTATTGTCAAGGTTAAAGTCACAACGTTCGTTTGATTCATTGCTTAATTCACCAGAGTTTGTGAGTTTAATTTTTAATCTTTTACACATTAATTCAGGTGAATTTGGTCGCTTCACAATATTCATGACTGTGGATTTATGTGGTGATGTTGTCGGTTTCAATTTCGCGCCATGAGTTATCAATTGTTGACCTATGATCGCAGGAAGTTGATCAAAGGTATCTTTAAAAACACTTGGATTAAATGGACTATTTGAGAGTTTATTTTTAAGATTATTAACTTCCGTCGCTTGTGTTGTTCTAACTAAATTATTCCTATGGAATTTTAAAACATCACTGGGATTGTCTGACCATTTAGAGATAACTTTATGAATAACTGGCTTCCTTGATTTCGTGGGAACAACTTTTGGTTTCTCTATACTGTAATTCGACCAAGCATCAGTTGGAACTGCATAATTTGATGTCACAAAAGCTCTTTTTGTGGTGATCGTTGGATCAACATAAGAAAGAGTCAAAGGCGTTGATGATGTTTTCGAGTTGGCTTCTGAATGAACTACAACTTCTACTGGTAATGAACTATCGACTACAAAGCCATGCACACTTACATACTCGTTACTGTTATTCCAATTGCTTACATTTCTATTGTTATTTAAGGTATGTTTAGTTATTAAATTAGCATAGTTGTTATTATATTTCCGACGAGGGTTAGTTGGTTTATGCGGCAAACTTGCTACTAAATACCTGACAGTTGAAACTTCTTCAGTCTTTGCAGCTTTTGTCGAGGGTGTTGCTGTCGTTGTTACTACTTCTGGAAGTTTTGGTTGTCTTTTTGTTGTACTTTCAGCTAATGGTGTTGTTGTCGTTATTTTTTCTGTAACAAGAGTTGATGCTTCAGGTGTCATATTAACAGTTGATGTTTCAGATTTTGAGTCGTCAGCAGGTCTCGCTGATATTCCTGCTATCAGCGAAACAGCAATTAACAAAAGTTTCCAATTCATCTTAAAACTGTTGAAGAAACAATAAAAAAAATTGTTGTAGTCATTCAATTCAGTTTCACACTCATATTTTCATTTAATTAACATGTCATGTAAATGAAGTTTTATGGATCTAAAAGCAAAAGAGAAAAAATCTCACACTTGAATACGATTTTATAAAGGGATACAATGAACTTGATAAAGAGTGATGCAACCTGTAGGCAGTGCGGCGTTTAAGTGAATTATATATTCGTCTTGCTTTCATAAATAACCTTTCATTTTATTGATTTTCTAGAAGTTGAGGGTTTATTACGTGAAACGTTTCGTGATAACTTTTAATTCGCATGCTACGATCATCGATACTTCGCCTGTACTGAAGATTTTACAATGATTTCTGAATGTGTGTAAAAATTGCTTTCCAATCGTCTTTTTTGGGATTTTTTTTCCTTTCAGGTAGGGTTTTCCAAAACCCGTATTTTAAAAAACCCGAAATTTCGGGTCGGGTTTCTTTAAAACCCGCGGGTTTTCGGGTCGGGTCGGGTTTTATTTAATATTGAAAAATTTGAATTAACCATGAAAATATCATTTAAAAATATATTTTTTTC